GGCTGGAGCTTCTAGGAGCTGTAGTTCAAAACACCTGGGGGACACCAGGTTGCCCATGGCGGGTTTAAATCATAAGCAATAGCATAGTGGAGAAAGAACTCTCTGGGATATTGCAGAGCTGATCTGCAGGACTAACAGCATAATGGACAAATTCTCCAGGCTCGCTCTAGCAAGTGAAAGAGGTAATAATGAGGCTTTCAAGTTCTTCTAAGGTTTGTAGCAGATTAGTGTAGCAGTCTGGGAATTTGGAAAAGAATGAGAGGCTTGCTTTTCTTTTATGGGGTCCCTACTTTATGCTAGCAGTTTAAAGGGTAACATTTCCTTGCAAGATTGTCTGCATTTGTAGTTTAAAGCCAAAGGTTGCATTGCAGCTGCTTGATGGTATTTTGCTAAAGCTCAGTGTATTTTACAAGCTGGACCTGTGCTGTTAGAAGTAAGCACCAGTGATTTCTAACATCACTGGTGCTTAGTGCCAGGTTATTATGCATTAGGTCACAGTGGGATTTTATTGCTAGTTGCCCAGCTAGGATATTTTACCATATTTTATTATGATGTTTTCAAACCAGCATCTGAGTATAAATGGTGCGCCTGCATTTGTATACGCATGTGTACACACACACACACACACACACACACACACACACACACACACACTACACATTCCTAGGGCATGAGTATGAAGTACCTTTTGGGATGCAGCAACAGAGTGGGGTAAGCACCTTGAGGCCTGTCAGTTATTTTGGACTACAGCTCCCAGTATCCAAACATGACAAATGGTCAGAAATTCTGAGAATTGTAGTCCAACAGTCTGGAAGACACCAGGATGCCTGCCTCTGCTGTAATATCACGCTGCGCTCCTGCCCTTCACCGTCGCACCACTGAGAGTGAGCCACTGGGGCTGGTCACACGCAGCACTAAACCACCATGGGTTAATTTCCCTGCAAGGCTTCAAGGAGTGCAACAGGGTGCTTATTGCTGGCTGTGTCATAACCCAGGGTTTTGGCTGGTTTAAGAGGACAGGCAGCCCTCCAATAGCTTGTTTTAACATTATTTGAGGGTTGTCTCCTCCCCAAACAACCTGCACTGCTGGGTTTGCATGAAATGATCAGCAGGGGCACCAAACACAGTGGCTCCTGCTGCTCAGCTACACAGTTCCCAGAGCCGGCTGTCCTGTCATGTGAGCGGGGCCTCTGGGTGCGAGGAACTGTCCTGATGTCACAGAAGGCTGGGACAGGCATAATTCAGAGGACAGGGCTGCATTGCACAAATGCCATTTGTGTCCACTCCCCTGTGGCTCACTCTGCCAGTGGAGCAGTTTGGGGTGCCCCTTGCTTGCTCCCACTACCCAAATGGCCTCCGGTCTTGTCCCATCATTCCTGGAGTTCCCATTGGCGCTATCGAGGCATGATGCACGAGAGGCCCTCCATTGCCCAGTGTGGCTTGGCAAACCTTGTGCGGAGCCTGCAGTCCTTTCATCCCTCCTCCTGCGCCCGCCTTTCCATTGCCCATAAACAGGGGTTGAGACCCTAAGATACATCTATCCTAGCCCCTTAAAAGCATTCAAAGCCAGCCACATCCAGTTCCAGTTCTTTGGCCACTCATAAGCAAAAGTATGAAGAGGAGGCTTTTCCCAACCTCCGTCACTTGCTTCTATGCATATATGGATTTTATTGAGCTCTAGTGGCTAATAGCCAAGGCTAGATCCATCCTACACACATAAGAAAGTTCTGCATGAATTAGCACATGGTGATCTTCTGCATAAGCCACAAAAGTTATAGGGCTTATTCACTTGCAGGATGTTGGATTTTATTCTAAAGTTAGCAATTTCTAGGCTTGCTGATTCACTGGAATTCCTCACCACCCAAAGGAGGGCAAATATGTCTATCTGTAGGATCATGCTTGCACCAAGATAGTGGAAAGCCATCTGTCACTGCTGTGAGACAATGCCCTGATTCACACAATCAACATAAGAAACAGTAGCTTGTTCTGGACAATGGCTAATGCTGGGCATGATTTGCATAATCACTGCATGGCTGCAGCCTACTGTGTTATCCACATCCTGGCAATGTGGCTTGTTGGCGTTTTCATCAGTTCTCAAATAACCTGACCACAAGCCATGCTTTTCCAGGTTCAACTGACAGGCAAAGGTACAGCCAGGCAGATGTTGGGCTTAGAACAAGCCAGGCTGGGTTTATTTTTTGTGACGTGAACTGACCTAGTCTAAAACCACCCACTGCTCATCTTGCCACGGGTGCATTGAACAACCAAATTAAGCTAAAACCAAAGCACACCATCACAGCCAACTGTGGCAGAAGGAAACCCAACAAGAACAGCTGGAAGTTAAAGCTGGAACGATTTAAATGAGAAATAAGGCACCAATTGTCACCAGCGAGAGCAATTAATCATCAGGACAAGCTGCCAAGGGTGGGGGTGGAGTAGTGAAAGAGTTCCCCATAACTTGCAGTTTCCAGTGAATTATGGACTCCCTCCATAAGCCACATACAAATGGAGCAGGCTGATTTAGTAATAAGCAGAAGGAATTAGAACACATGTAGGAGAAAGAAGGGGAGACCAGATGATATCACAGGGATCATTTACTATTTAACTCTTAAGCCAAAAGCCAAGGAAGAGATCAGAGGAACAACACAGCAGGACTCTGCTGAAAGACTCTCCCAGCTACATGGGTCAAAAGCCTGCAATGTGTAATTTATTCCATATTTCATACACAGAATATACAAATCAAATCCGCCACCCATGTTTATCTCCAGGGTGCGGGAAAAGCAGCCCAAGAAATGTCACCCTGGCAGCTGTCAAACCAATTCCGTGTGGGTAGCTGCACATCCACTCCATTTCCATTGTTTTCTTGTGCCATTCAAGGCCATGGCACATAGGAAGAAAAGAAGCTCAGTCTTGGGAGCCCAGCAGATCCCAACCTAGACACATGCTTTTCTAGAATATTATAAGGGAAATACACTCCCTCACACATCACATAATGAATACTTTTGTTTAAGGTCATGTGTACACATACAGATGCAGTCAGGAACATGTCTGATCACCTCTATATGCATTGCATTCTTTTCCGTGCACCCTCAAGGATGAGGAAGAGCACTATTTACCATGTGGTAACTTGCCAAAGTGTGTGTAACCACCTGGCCAGGTGATCACCTGTGTAGTCTTGCTAAATGGTGAGAAAAAGCAGACCATGCTGTGGCACCTGACCAGTAATTTGGGAAACCGGGGATGACACCATTTGACAAGATTGTAAGGGAGACAGCTTGCCAAGTTTTGTTCTTAAAACTAGCCTAAACATCTCTCTAATGTATCTATAGAAAAACCTTTAAGAAAATAATAAGCATGTCTTTCTGCACTGTAGTACCAAGACTGTGAAACCTAGACAGTTGATACTTGCTAAGCATACTAAGGGAACCCTAGGAATTTGCAGTTTTCTTTTAAAAAGCATAGTTTAATTCTATTTATGTGTTTGGAGCCTGCAGTACCATTCTCAGTCACTAGGGGGAAGAATTCCCAAACAAGCAAAGAGTTTCATAATACAGTTAGAAGGCAGGGAATATTATAGGTCAAGAAATAGTTGCATACACCTGCCATCAGCTATGGGGCAGCCCTTCATTGGGGGAATGGGTGGACAAACCCATTATAAGGAGGCACCAAGGCAGGAGCTCTGGCCAAAGGTGCCAACGGGTATGGCTTCACTTGGATAGGAAGGGCATAATGAACCCAGCCCTAGTGTGACTGCATAACTTTGCTGGAAGGCTTTGCCGATCAAATTAAGGGCTATTCTGATGTGAAACGTCAGTAAGAAGGGCTTGCCCATGAGTCATTTTCACATAATACTCCTAGCAAACGGACACAGTGTGCAGCACTACATAAAGCAGCCCCGAAAGTGTCCTAACAAGCCCATTTTCACCAGATACTGGAAAATTTGCAGACATTGAAGCTTTGGTGCCTTTTGGGAGCATGCACACAACCACATCAGTCAGTCGCGTTTCCTTCACTTTGCCAAAGGCAGGGGAGGGGGCACCGAACCCAACCTTGCATCCTTGGTTGGGCCATGTGTTCAGAGGTGTTAAGGCTCTGACAATGCAGTCATATTTGCATATTTACTCAGAAGAAAGCCCAACTGGCTGCAGTGGGGTGTACTCTTGCATAAGCATCCCTAGCAGCTGCAACCTAAGCCTTTAACTGAAGCAACTCTCTGAGAGCATGACCAAAGATCACATGGCCTCTAAAACCCGAGGGTCCCATGCAGCCACCACAGCCAATGGCCAGAGGCAGCTTTATCTTGCATGAGTTTGTCCAACCCCCTTCATGAGGCTCAGGTGCCTTTAAAAGAGGGTGGAATGGCAGACAGAGCCACCAATGGCTCCTAGTCATGGTGGTGATCATCTGCCTCTACACTCTGAGCACCAGCTGCTGGAAGAGAAGAGCAGGAGACGATCATCACATTAATCTCCTGCTTTTGGTCATCCTAGTGAGGCCTCTGATTGGCCACTGTGGAAAACAGGATACATGAACAGAAAGGCCTTTGGTCCAATTCTGAAGGGCAACCTGTGAGCCTGCAGAGGCATTTGGACCACAACTCCCAAAACTCCCATCCAGCAGGGCCACTGACTGGGAATTCTGGGTGTTGCAGTCCAAATGTGTCTAGAAGAGACAACGTTGGGGAAGGAGGCTGTAGGGCTTCTCTTACGTTCTGGAAGGAATTATTCCAGTTACAGCTGTGTGATATTTATATGCATACCTTCACAAACAGGGGTTGTATGCACAGCTGTACACATTTATATCTCCACACAAATATTCAGGCAAGACATGGTTCCTAATGTTAGTCCCACTTAGTGTAGCCTCATGGAAATGAATGGAACTAACACGGGAGGCAAGCCATTAGATACAGCCCAGCATACCTCTGCAGGTATGCATGATTGCCTGCAGGTGTGCATGGCAAAGCACGCAGCGCAACATCAGAAGACAGGCTCAAAACGTTCTGCGCTTTGGTTCAGTCAAGGGAACAAGGTGAAGCAGTTTAATTCCTCCAATCAATCTTGCATTATGAGCAGACAAATATATTACACGTGTATGGCGGCTCAGAGACTAGTCCTGCTATAAAACACAAGGAAGTCAGTTGTCTCAGTCACCCTAAAATCAGTCTTGGTAGGAGCAAAAGGCAGCCAAGGAGATTACCCATCTGGAAAAAGGGGCCACACTGCCTGGCTCTCTGAGGCAGGGCTACGAGGACCAGAAGCACCTGGCCTCCTGCCTGCCCTGGCCACCTGGGTGTCGTTACTAGCCAATCTCTACTTGGACAGAATCTCAACGTTTGTCAAAGCCAGGCATGGGGAAGGCACGGGCAAAGGTCTCCACTTGCTGCCGGAGGTCTGATAGTCTCTGCTTCATCTCTGGGTCTTCCAGCAAAAAAGATTTGAAATCCTGGAGCTTTGCTGTGGGAGAAAGGGAAGGAGGAGGATCAACAGTGCAAACACATTGGGTAAACTGCGGCACAGAGACAAGCCCCACTTATCCAAGAGTGTGCTCTGCTCAGAATTAGGCATTACTTCTCATTCTGTGAATCCCTCTCCCACACCCATTTCCCATCCATAACCAGAGTTACTGCATAGGACTTGGCTGCCCAGCACCACCTTCTGCTCGTGTCCCCTGGATTTAAGCTGGATCAGCTATGCTGACAGAAGTGGACTCCCACACCTCTTGCAGTGGGCCCTCCATTCCCCTGGAAGTGCTACAGAGTCAGAAGGATCTGCTGAACGGAGTGAGCTGCGGTGTGGGGGAAGAGTGGATCCCCCAAGGACATGTGGAAGGCCATCCTCTTGCAGAAGGCCGCCTCTTAGTCACGGAAGGCAGATCCTGGACCCAACCTCATGTACTGACTCTCCCCCTCTCAGAAGTGGGGCCAGACTTGAGACATAACGCTCCTTCGATCCACTTTCACACTGGCAGGAGGGATCTTCACCTGCAAAATGTCTGTATGTTAAAGCACAGAGCAAGGCCCTTGGAAAAGGTGGGAACCCAGCCTGCAGGCGGTGCTTTGTTGCCTGATGGGTCACAGTCGAACTAAGGAATTCCATCCGTGAGAATTCAACAAGGCATGGAATGAGTCTATCAAACAGATCACCAGGGCAGCCCATTGAGGCGCCAGATTTGTAGCTGGCACCGTTTCCACTATACCTTGCTGACTTCCAACAAAATATAGCCAAACATGCTCAAAGGGACGAGGTGCAAAGATTCAGCCATTGCATCGTGCTAGCTCTTCCTAAGGCAACAACGACTTACAAGTTTTCTTTTTGACATCCAGTCCAATCTGGATTCCTTTATCAATGAACTCCACCACCTTGTGGAAGTCAGCTTCCCGGAACTGTCGGGAGGTAAGTGCAGGTGCGCCTAGAGGGTAATTGAAGAGAACCAGATTAGAGGGTTGTTCTTGTTATCCAAACCCCCAAATTACCCTTTTTTGTAACACTGAAACTTGTAAAATGTAACATATAAAATGCAACAAAAATTACAAACAGGCAGTCTAAACACTGCTGTAATAATGAATTTTCCAGATCAATCTCTAGAAAGGGTCTACCAACCTTAGATTTGCCTACAGGAGACACCAGAAAGTGAAGGAAAGTTCAGCATCACAATCCCATGCGTGTGATGCATCCTGCTGTTCGGGTGGGGATGCAGAAGAGGGAAATTCAGCAGCTGCAAGTAACACGTGCTGAAATTCCCTCTTCTGCTCAGCGAAGAAAGATGGGGGAAACCTGTCCTGCCCAGCCTGTCCCCAGGAAGTAGTTTGGAAAAGAATGCAGCCCTAAACATGCACTAAATTCTATTACAGCCCTCCCCAGCCTGCTGCCCTCCAGGTGTTTTAGACTGCAATTCCCATCAGGTTCAGCCAGCATGGACAATGGTCAATTATGCTGTGATCCAAAAAAATATGGGGGGGGGCACAAGGTTGGAGAAGGCTGATGTATATATTCCACAAGAAAAAAGAATAAAATAATGTTGGCCCAAGGAACCAAAAGAAGTATAGAAAACTTGCAAGCGAACTGCATATTAAGCTGTTTTTTATCTAGTTGCTTACTCTGCTTAAATGTATTCCACTTGTGGGGAGAGGCAAAGGCAATCAAAATTGTGTTCCCACTCTGTCTTCCGAGATACTTTCAAAACTTACAGCTTTATGGGCTAGAAAAATGCTTTTTAAAACATGAAAACTAAGACTCTCAGCAAGCTGAATTCTGGACTCCATACTAACTTGAAGTGTTCACAAGTTATATTCATGGAAAATGTGCAGTGCACTTCTTTCCAAATCTCTGTAAACTTCCTTAACTTTTTTTCTGCCTCACAGTCCTGGGCAAAAAATAACTGATAACACTTAAAAAACAGAGCTGGGAATAATTTGGGTTTTCTTGGCATAGACTCAGGATCAACCTTAGTGTAGATAAGATACGACCACAAAGCTCTGAAACACATAGACCTTTTAAAATTATTTTGCAATAACCTGCTCTTACCAAGACGCAAACCGCCAGGTGTCAACGCGCTCTTGTCTCCAGGACAGGTGTTCTTGTTAGCAGTTATGGAAACAAGTTCCAAGACTCGTTCAGCCCGGGCCCCATCTATGCCCTTTGGTCGCAAGTCCACAAGCAACAGGTGGTTATCAGTGCCTCCTAATGAGAGAGAGAGAGAGGAGGGAAGGAGAGAGGGAGGGAGGGGTCTTCTCCTTGTAGCCTCCCCAACTCACCGCCATCCTCTCGAGTTCAACCATTATACAGACAACAAAGACATCGCTGTCAACGTAACTAAAACTGCTCTACTGTTGGATTAAACCTGCCCTGAGAGCCTTTTCGGCTAAGCGGGCAGGATAGAAATTCAATAAACAAACAATAAATAATTAAACTTGAAGGTCTTTTCAGCCCAGCACTCCACCCTTGCCTAGGCCACTTGATCCTGGCTAACATGGGTTAGCAGCTTCCTTCTCTATGAATAGTTCTAACTCCTCATCCCAGTAACTGGCTCTGCCGACCCAGCACATCTTGAGACAATTTATTCCTTGGAGTAACTGTAAGTTGCCTGAAGAGGTAGTTCTGATAGCCATCCTGATCCTGCTGCTATTCAGTTTCATGAAAAACAAGGTATGTCACCACATGCTATGTATTAAGTGAATGTTTATTTGGCACAGTGTTCTGTATTATCTTTTTTGAATCTCTAAGTTGGAGATCTCATCTTAATTGAAATCATCCTTGGCTGCAAAGGGATTTGAATCAGCACTCCATCTACTGATCACATTGTGTTTCAAACTTTTCACTCCACCTAGCCCCAGTGACATGTCTCCGCTAACAGCTGCTGACCTTCACATCTCCACTCTGCACAGCCCACTAGACCCAGCTACCCCTATCCCAAGATCCACCTTTGCCCTGCATTGCAGGAAAGGCTACAACACAAAACAAAAGCACACGATCAGTAGAGACAAACAATGCTGTACCATTTCAGACTGCAGGTGGGGAAGCACGTGATTTAAAATAAAAATTCCCTACATATACAATAAGACCAAATGGCCACAGGAAGTCCAGCCTAGAATTCTTCCCTCCATTAGACTAATTTCTGCATATGCTGGGGGGTTTCAATACAGAGGGGCACCAAAAGATGCCCGTACCTCCCTGCCATCAAAACTTATACAGTCCTGCAAAAGAGGCTTCACATTACGTATTTCAGCTCAGAAGCACGAGATCACCCTCGCCCTACCTGAAACCAGAGTGTATCCTCGCTGTAGCAGCGCCTCTGCCATGGCCTTGGCGTTCTTGAGCACCTGCTGGCAATACTCCTGGAACATGGGCGAGTTGGCCTGCGACAGAAGAATGGATACTAAATGTCACGGGAGCAGCAATGCTCCAACACCCTTCTGGGGCATGATGAGGAGGCAGGGACAACACCACTGGTCCCACCCCATGCCCACAGAACCAAACGAACTAAGCCCCAAAGGTTGGCTTTCGATGGGTGCAGAATATAAGAATCCACTGATGCAATATGAGCACGGGATTTCATTCCTGGAACAGTTCAGTGCAATCGTAAGTACCATAACTCAAACTACCATTCTCTAAAAGTCTCCAAAATTACTTCTTCCTGGAGGCACACTAGAGCCCCCAGGTCAGATCACACGGAGGATTCGCCAGTGCAACTAGTGAGTGGTAGCTGAATCCCGGGCACTTGCAATCCATGCTCTGGTGATGGGCAGTGGCTTCTGGATCATTCTGCACCCTGGCTCAGAAATGCCTGCAGGTACAGCTAGAGCAGGGGTCGGCAACCCACGGCTCCGGAGCCGCACGTGGCTCTTGAACCCCTCTGCTGCAGCTCCATCGCTCAAAACACAAGTCACAGCCACTGATCTACTCGAAGCTCCACAGGAACAGCAGCGCTAGCTAGTTAAGTAAATCAGCTAGTTAAGTAAATCGCTACATTCCTCTGCTAAACAAGCTTCCTGCAGGCTCTCATGTTACACGAAACTAAACTGAAAAGATTCTCTTTGTCCCAATGTAATCTCCTTCCTCTGAATGTTAAAAGCTGTGCTTGGGACATGTCACAATCCATATCACTTGACTGTTTATCTGCTAATCAGTCACTAAACACACCTATATCGGCCGGCCCTGATTTACTGAGCTTTCCCCCCTCCAACCATGGATAAATCCAAAGAAAAGAAAAGTTTCTGAAGAAAACCGAACGTTTAATGGTACGTGGGTAGATTCGTTTGCTTTTACTGCTGACGAACTTATGGGGTTTGCTGTTTAATGCATGCAGCCCTTTAGCACTGACTTTGACTCTGCAGGAAGCTGTTCTCCTATTCAAAATATATGAAAGGAATCCTATTAGTTTATAATGTAAGATTAAAAATAACAGTTTTTAGTGACTGAACAAGAACTGCAGCTAAATCATAATGAAGATATAGATCTACTTCTTTGTTTTAAGAAGATTCTTATAAAAATTCCAGCAACATTATTACATTGGGAGAGGGATGTTTGTTCAATATTTCACCACGTGATAAAAGGATGAGGGCACCCAGAAGCAGACGGCATTTTTGGTTTGCTGCAGGTGGCAAGTTTGGTTTGCTGCTAGTAGATAATATAAGTTCAGCTTTTTATTTCATAAATACGAGGAGGACTCAGATAGACATTGAGTATTTTATTTGAAAGTAACTTTCAACCCAGCATCTTTTTTTTCGGAGTTCAAAATGTTTTTGTTGCATGCAGAAATAAAAATTTGTTTTCTCTGTAGCAGTTCATTGATTTCATAAATGCAACACACTATAGTTTTTTTATACATAGCATAAAGGTAAAAAACTATATATGCCGTGTTATGTTCATTTTAGATGCCAAAGGGGTTTTGCAGCTCCTGGTGTTTTCTTTTCTGTGGGAAATGGGTCCAAATGGCTCTTTGAGTGTTAAAGGTTGCCAACCCCTGAGCTAGATCATTTGGCTTGATTAGGATAAGAGCAGGCAGAACCAGCCTGGGTGAGAGGAGCAGAACATAGGAAACCGCCTGAGACCAAGTCAAGGTCTATTTGTTGTGGGCATGTCTCCTCCCTTTCCCTTTCCAGCAGATCAATGCCAAAGGCTTCTAAGTACAGTCCTTTATTAAGCTAGGCTGACCAGCCTGCGCTTGTTTTTCAATAGAGAATGATTAATTAAAAATGGTTAACAAATAGCATCTATCAAAGTAGTGATCTCACTGGCTGGCAGAGTTAGCTCTTTCCCACATCGGGAATTGATTCCAAACTGAATCCCCTTCCTCCCTTTCCCTCCTCAGGGATTGAGGCCAGAATGCTGGAATGTTGGACATTACTTAACTGTTTGACTTGATGACGAACCACCAGACTGATGAACTTGCACCTCTCCACCTCGGACCCTCAGTGCTCTGCAAACGGCTCCTCCCAAACGGCTCTCACCAGTCGCTCAGCCAACCTCACTCATTAACCTTGGCATTTCGGTAACGTTTGCCAAGCCCTCTTCTGCTTCATCTAGTGTACCTTCAGAGTCTGCACTTTCTAGCTTGGAATGCTGCATTCTGAAAGAAGGTGGAGGCTCTGAGAAAGGCTCTTGCCCAGCCTGTCAACAAGTTAAAAATACTCCCTGCTAGTCTATCAGCAGCTTCCTTCTTGCAGGGACTACTGGGATCCTGAGGGCCTAAGAGACCATGATGTTTCCATTCCCAATCAGCAAAGGAGTGAGGAAAGCCAAACAAGTAATTGGTTAAACCTCCCTCACACTCACACACACACACCTTATTCCAGCTGCCTGACCCACCTGTTTCAGCGCTACCGCGACAGCAGCAATGGCATGGTTATGGGGCCCTCCCTGCAGAGAAGGGAAGACGGCAAAGTTGATCTTCTCCTCCAGGTTGTACAGAATCTCCTTGCCGGTCTTCTTGTCCACAGAACGGACCCCTTTGCGGTAGAAGATCAGCCCAGACCTGGGTGTGACAAAGGGGTGCAGGCATCATGCTTCCCATCTCTGAAGGGGCAGAGACTGCGTAAGAATGGTGAAAACACAAGTTCTGCAACCTGCACCAGCCTTTTCTTGAAGCCTCCAGATATGCTGGGACTACAGCTTTCACACCACAGCCATTAATGATGGAGGATGATGGGAGCTGTAATCCAGCACACTGGGAGAATGCAAGGTTGGAAAAGGGTGACCTAGAAGGTACAAGATAGCCGGGAAATGGATGAACATAGGAAACAGCAATATTGTTCTTCATTTACTATGAAATTTATGCCCTGCCTTTCTCCTGCAAGAAACCTTACAAAATCCTCATCCTGTCCACTGTATCCTCACAGCAGCCCTGGAGGTCGGCTAAGCTGAAAGCGGGGATTAACCCAAAATCACTCGGCGAGCTTCATGGGCGAGTGGGCACTAGAGCCAAGGCTCAGTCCAGCACTCTGGCCACTGCATCCACAGTCCCTTACATGCCTCACCACGGGGCCATCATCCGACCTGGCATGTGGGAAGTCTGTGCCCCTCCGGATGTCACTGGACTTCAACGCCCATCATCCCTGACTGCCAACTCTGCCACCCTGATCAGGCTTACCTCGCTCCACGTAGCGTTTTGTGAGTCGTGCTGGTCACCACATCGGCGTGGTCAAACGGTGATGGGATGACTTTGGCCGCCACCAGGCCGCTGATGTGGGCCATGTCGGCCAGCAGGTAGGCCTTCACCTCTTCACACACCTGCTGGAGAAGGACAGATCAGGCCCTTGCCCCTCCTTCCTCGCCCACATGCCTCCCAAGAGATCTATCCCACAAGGGCAGCCTGGAAGAGTTGAAAACGCCCCCAAGTGCTCTCTCCACATGGAAAGGAGACACACCCCGTTCTGGGACTGGCACCTGTTTCCTTCGGCTTCACTATGGTGGGAAAGCGAGAGAGAAACTGAAAATTCCCCCCTCCCATACAAAGACACACCAACGTCTGTCTAGTTTATTGGGCTTTTGTGCACACCCAGAAAGTACCTTCTTGATGCGAGCGTAGTCAATAAGGCGAGCATAGGCACTGGTGCCGGCGATGATCAGACGTGGGCGGAAGAGGCGGGCAGTTGCTTCCAGCTGGTCATAATCTATCAGTCCTGTTGTGGGCTGAATGGGAAGGGAATGGGAACAAGGCAGCCGTGCCTGAGAATTAAGCCATTCTGCACCATCCTTCTCATAAGAATTCATGCATGCCGGCACATGGCAACGCCACGCCACAGTCCCTAGGGTAGCGGTCAGTTAAAAGGCGCAATATGACAGTAAGAATAATATCCTCTATATTGCTCTGAGGGCAAAGAATAGACTCAAGAACCATTCCTGAAATGCAGTTGCGAAATTGTCCACTTTGTCCATAATTCTGTGCTCTCAACAAGCACTGAGCAAAATGTGCCCAGAAGGGAAAAGTCAAAGTTACTGGAGTTGGTGGGGATATTGCTGGCAATAAATAGACTGACTACAAAGCCCAAAATCTGCCACCTGAATTAATTTATGAAGTTATTCTGTCTGACTTTTCCTTTTTCTGCATAATTTAATCTGCATTGTTTACTACTGTGCATAACTTATTCTTATTTTGCCTGAGATCAAGAAGCTGCTGACACACTACTGCGCTTTTCTCCCAGCTACTGGAATTCAGAGAGAGCCAAAATGACGCCTTCTGTGTAGGAAAGACAAACAGGTCGAGGGGTGGCATGAAAATACAAGAGGCCAGGGGAAAGACTTTAGAACCCTGTATATGGGGAGAAGGAGACCATTCAAGGGCCCCATCTCTAGCAAGAGCAGCTGACTGCAGGCTGGAGGTAGCAGGCGGACATCTGGATTGGGGTGCTGAAAGTCTTCCAGGCCAAATTCCATTTTGGAGAAAGGTCTTGGGGACTGCCTTCCGCTGGTGGGCTGGGCTGAAGGAAAAGGGGTGGGCCCAAGATAGGAGCATATCTTAGCTCAAAGCTCTTAGCCACCAGCAATCAAGCCCCAGGAGGGGCATTTCAAGCTTTTAATCAGGGTGGGAAGAGGAACTGCACAGGAGCCCAAAAGAGAAGGGGCCATGGGCTTCCAGGGAACCCCAAGGGGCCAGATTCGGCCCCCAGGCCTGAGGTTCTACACTCCTGCCCTAGCTTCTGCAGTAGCAGAGGGCGTCTGCTCTTAGTATCTCCACACAGGCAGCCTGGTGAAGAAGGGGAGCCCCATGATGCACTGTCAATCCCTCTCTGCCCCAAGCTCTTGCAGCGCATTGCAAGGGAAGTTGCATCAAGCCCTGACACCCAACGCCATACTTACAGCAGATGCTTTCCCAAGCAACAGCCAAGCTGCCTCCATGACTTCCAACCATGCACACACAAAACCCAGCTAACCCTTCACACAGTTGCGTACAGGTCCTAAACACGCAGGCAAAATACCATGTGTGTTTCTCCTCAAAATGTTGCCTAAAGCTTTCTCCGCCTTGACTTAAGAAGGAAAAAAACCCCAAACAGGTCTGCTGACTCACATTGAGTTTGTAGGGCATGGACTCGAAGAAGATGGATGTGGCTGAGATCCGTTTGACGTCAGACATATAGCCATGTGTCAGGCTGCAAGGAAAAGGAAGACATACTGTCAGGGCAGCTTATGAGTCAAACTCCGACTCAGGAAGAACTCTTCCACCCAAATGGAGCCATAGATTAGATAGTTACCCTCCCAACCAAAGAGAATGGAAATGCTTAGGGTCTGAATGAGAATTCTATAGGGCAGGGCTAGATCTGGTGGGTATGGAAGGCACGGCAGGGACAGAACAGCCACCTCTGCTCAGCCTCTTCCCTGATGAGAAAAAAATACCAGAAACTATTATAGGGCAAGCCTGAAAAACCTACTGCTATGATAAATAAACTAACCAGGGGATGGGCAAATTTCCTTTTACCATAGATCCATACCTTTCAAGCTGCCAAAAAACAACATTTGGAGGTCAGTCATTACCCTCTGCCTGCACAGCATTTGTAATTCCCTGTCTTAGCTTCTTCGGCTACTCCTTCCCCATTTGGGCTTTCATCAGTCCTGCCAATACCCAGCTCTTGCACTTCATCTCCTGCTCTTGCCCTGCCATTATCCCCACTCTGACAGTCCCCTCCTCTGCTCAGGGGGCAATCCTATGCACGTTTAAGCAGAATAAAGTCCTGCAACCCCCAGCATGCCCCAGACTAGCATGTGTAACATGGTTCCCCGTGTTTCTTCATGTTCTGCAATGAGCAGAAACATTCCACCGAAGTTGCACTCCCCATCCAGTACGTACTGGCCCCCATCAGGCAAGTCCAGGCCCATGAGACGCTCGTGGGGCTGCAGCAAGGCTGTGTAGGCGGCAAAGTTGGCAGGGGACCCAGAGTAGGGCTGAACGTTCACCCCCCAGCGCTCAGGATCCAGGTCGAAAGCCTCAAGAGCACGGTGTTCACACAGCAGCTCAATGCGATCCACCACCTCAGCACCGCCGTAATACCTGTGTCAGGATGTGAATGGGAAAGAAGGGTTTAATAAGGGAGAGACGGCTAGACCAGCCGTTGCCTTGTTGCTGCCTTAATCTCTGAACTGGGGAAGAAGAGCAAAAAGAAAATCCTCTCTGCCGTCCTCCATGCCACCACAGCGTATAAAGGAGGTTTCCAAGGCAACCAGCCCCTAACAAAGCTCCCTGCACCCCTCTTGTCTGCACATCAGTGCTTCACAATTGGTTTTTCCTGCACCGACTTCTTCATTACCATACGATTCACCAGATGGCAAATGTCCTTTTACTCTGCCTCCCTCCTCAACTAAAATCCAGGCACTGCCATGCAGACAGCACAGGCCCAGAGGCCGGCCCTGTCCGAACTTTGGTTCTCTTTTCGTTGCCAGGGAAATCTTTTCCCTAAGGAAGCAAATTCCAGATGCCCTCCAGGAAAGAGCTGTCAACTATCTGTGGAAATATCCAGAGGTGCGAAAGAAAGAAAAGGGGGCTTCTCCATCCACCTGCAGCCAAATATGGACCCCATGGGCCCTCTCATTCTCTAACCGTATCATCTTCTCACCAACTCCCCTTCTCCCTCTGTTCATTTCTCCTATGGCCATCCTCTATCACTCTTTCCTGGAGTCATCAGACCAGGGGTGCAGATCTTCAAGCCCAGATCCCCCCATCTATAGCCCTATCCCTTCCCCGGGCCCCACTGGTTTCCTGGCAGTTCTCTCTCCATTCTGAGAGGGGAAAATGCCTCTCCAAAGGCAGTAAGATCCTCAACCCAAATCCTGCTGGCATTTTGGGTATTTGGGCCTTGATCCATTTCCCTTTCCCCACCTCGATGGCTCTGCTGCCCTTAGAGCTTCTCTGAAACAGAATTCTACGTTTAGGCCAAAAGAGATTCAGCTTCCCTGTCCTATACAGTGTAATCCAAGAGCCACTCTTTTCCATGGCTCCATCCCATATTTATTATATTTCTATATAGCCCCAGTCAAAGCTCCCTGGACAGCTCACAGGCATTAAAACCAGAAAATACAGAACCATGATAAAGCTTTTCAAATGGCACCATCAAAGAGTCTGGCACTGGAATAGCATAGAAACCCCACAAAGCTGCATTGGCACAGCCAATTACTGCAGTGCCATTCCTTATTCTGGACAGCCAGTGATGGTACGGGAGGAATCCACAATCGCCGTGATGGAAAAGGGGCACACGTGCCATGGACTCACCGTCTGCAGCAGCAAGAGGCAATCTGCAGCCCTCCAGACATTTTGCCTACAGCTCCCATGACCCCTCACAATGGGCACTGCTGGCTAGGGTTGATGGGAGTTGTAGGCCAAAGCATTCAGTAGGCCACAAGCTGCCCATCCCAGTCCAAAGGGCACTACTAGCTTGCTTCTCTTTTCCCCCTCAGCAGTACTTCCCCCACTCCAGCAACCCTTCCTGCTCAACCTCCTGTCAGGCTTCCATGATTTCTTGCTCACTGCTGTTCCCTTGAATGCAGCTTGCACTGCACTCAGGCACCAAAATGCTTTGTGTACAGTTCAGAAAGAACCTGGAGCCAGGCCCAACAAGCTGAAGCTTTCCTCTCTTCCCGAATGCCAGCCCCATCACCATCCCCTTGATGTGTCTTAGCAAACAGGCATCAACAAGTAATCTCAACCGGCCATGCTCTGTTGATCTCTTCCTACACCTCTTCTCTCCCGATGCACTCCTGATTTATTTTACCAAAATCATTCTGCTACACTCTACATTACCTTTTGCCAGGATAGCCCTCCGAATACTTGTTGTTGAGGCAGGATCCGAGGGCCTCCAGTGCAGCTCGGCTGCAGAAATTCTGTAAAAAAGAGTGAAATCCAAAAATCGAGAAAAAAAACAAAATGCAGTTATGCAAACACTTCAAACTGCAGCGGAGAATGAATGAGGAGCAATAGCTTGGTGTTAGTGCACCACTTTGCCTACGGAAACCTGCAGGGTTTGAACCCTGGTGTCTCCAGGGAGGCCTGGAAGAACCCTGGAGAGGTGGTGCCAATCAGCATCAGCAATGCTGAGTCAGATGGACCCATGGTCTGAATCCATGCAAGGCAACTTCCTGTGTCCAGAGAAGGCAAGCACAAAGACCCGCAGTACTGCTAAGAAACCAGCTTCATCAGGCTTTGGCTTCTCAAGGTCATCGCTTCATCCAGTGGCACAAGAACGAAACACGAGGAGGGCCCACTTCATCAGCTCAGCTGGAGGACCAGTCATGCCGGCTTCTCCTCTCTCTGAGCTATTTCCACTCCAAGAGGTTGTGATAAGGCACATTAAGATTAACTTATAGCATTAGGAATCAGTGCCTTAATTTGTTCTCCCCCGCCCCCCACCATCATTTCCTCTCCCCATCCTTTTTTTCCTTCAGTGTTGTGTCTTGTGAGATTGGAAGACTGAGGACAGGAATTGTCTTGCTTTTATGAACCTGAAAATTGTTCTTTCCTCTTGAAAAGTGTGGAATTAAGGCTTTGAACAAATATATACGTAAATAAAATGGAAAGCTGGGAATGCGTATCCCTTTTATGCCACATAGCAGCCACATGGGGATGAAGGGAGAGAATCTGAAACTGGACCACAAAGAGCTGTGTCAACTCTCCCCTGTGCCACTAAAATCCACCCCCTCCAAGCTGCTCCTTGTTGCAAGAGAAACTTTGGAGGCAAGCAGAAGTGGGGGAAAGGAGGATTTTTGGTAGGAAAAGGTGGGCGAAAAGAGTCAGACCTCCCTTTCTCACTGTGCATCATGATCTTGATACAGAAAGAAAAAAAATATTCAAAGCTTGGATTAGAGTTTCATGTAGAAAATTTATTGTTCATTCCAGGTGTAAGATACACTAGAATCCCATTTCCATCTGTTAGCACTGCAGGAAAGGAAGGGGGGATAGGAATACACCACACCACACTCCAGCTACCTTACACAGATAATATTACACCTTGGTGTCCTGCATTCATTAATCCAGACTAACCACAATTTCTCCTTTTTATACTTTCTTCAAGTATAGGGCCCTGCAGGCATAACCATAAAGCAAAGCTGAAAAACCATGCTATTTAAGATCTGTTATTTGGTTATTTATTTATAAATACTTATGAAACTTGAAAGCTTTTCCAATCCAGTGAACAAACCAGTGCTGTCACCTAAGAATCTGAAATACATTTTCAGTCCTGAGTTTAATACTTGTTATTTAAATGGTGCATTGCTTATTTCCCCCCACAAATGTATACATTGCTTCAAAGCCAATACTTTCCAAGTGGTTGACATTAAAAGTTAAACAGAACAAAACAACATAAAACAGCCATAAAAACTAATGCAAGAATTAAAATACAGCTTTAAAAACCAGCAGCTTCAAATGATACCCGATGTTTGAGCACGTCTTCCCTTCGGTACCATACCAAGAAGACTAAATCACATTTCTGGCTCAAAACCCATCAGAGTAAGTTTCCTTCTATATCACAGAAAATATTTCCATACTTGTTTATAGTTTGTCATTTGTGTTTTGTTTGCCAAAGCTTATAGACAAAAATTTTAAAGCACTTTGTATATATGATCTCAGTAATCCTTACAATGCTCCTATAAGGTAGGCCACACATGTGTATGCAGTGAAATTTAAACCAACAATTTTCTAGCTCACATTCTTTGTTTCTCTGCAGGGAAAGGACAGCCTTACCATTGGCTGTTAACCAATGGGACCTCCATGTTCAGACACCCCAGCAGAGAAAAGAGTGCTGCCCAAACCTGTTTGTGGACCCAGAAGCACCTGGTTGGCCACTATGTAGAACAGGATGATGGACTTAAAAAGGAGCACTGCTAAATCAAATGGATGATTTTAAGCCTTAGCACAGGCTCTGAGAGCAACTGCAACACTTGTTAGCATGTACCTGGGCCCATGTGGCCCTTTCCCAAATCTATTTCTCAGCACCCCCGATCTGTTCCTCAGCACCCTGAATGTTGTTTGGTTCCACAGGAAGGCACATCTTAGCTTAATTACCATGCAGGGGCAAATCTCCAAGGAGGACTGCAGCTGGGGTGAGGATTCCCTAAACTTCACATGCTGCAGCACACACAGACAGACGCACGCAACATGCTCTTCCTACATGACAATTAAACTTGGAAAAGAAAGAAACTTTCTCCATTATTTTAGGATGGACTGGAGTGGGGTGGAAATGAACTGAAAATGTAATTTTATTTGAGATGATTTGGATAAGAAATTAATTGGCTGGCTTTGCCTTCTGTGAAATTTAAATAAATCCTAGTAATTATTTCGATGTTTGCACCACCTTATAGACGTTTTATGCATATCTGTGTCCTATAGGTCTGCGTGCTGAACATTTTGAATGCTCAGCAACAGCCTTGTCCGTAAGGGTCCAAGAAATGAGACAACACTGGCTTTTGCAGTCCTCCAAAGGACAAGGCGCACACCCTTTCATGCTCTGCTCCCAAGCTAAGGAAAGAGAGGCCCGTCCTTCCATCACTCACCTCTGAGGCAATGAGCTCCAGCCCCCGGCACTGCCGATCCTTCTCTTGCTGCACCAGCTCCCACATCTCAGGGTCACTCTCCGCCAAGCTCTCCTGCCCGGTCCAGCCGGATGTCTCCTTGGCGGTCTCGGTGGCAGCTTTGCTATGCTGGGCCCGCAAACTCCCCGCAGCCTGGCAGCATCTCCGCAGAGGCTGGCAAGGAAGGAAAACTAAGACTAACAACAGGGCTGGTCCAACATCATTTTAGTATTTCAGGAAGTTTACCCATGTAAGTTGCAGTCAAAGCATCTGCTTTACTGAAACATCAAAGGTGTTTGATTTCTTGAACACGTCAAACCAGTTTGTTTTGGACCATCCTAGTATGTCTAATTGAAGGATGGTTGCTTTAGAGTCTGTATCTGAAGCTTCAGTAGATTCAGATTAAGTATTATTTAACAAAAATGTTTTGTTTATTGAATGCCACAATGTCTCTTTAATACAGGTTCGTCCAAGTTGGCTAACCACTGGAATTGTAATACTGCTATTGCTTCCTTTGATCATATGCTTTTGCAATGTCCAGTAGCTGCCTCTTTTGGAGGGAGGTTATAATATGGAAAAATTGTATTGGAGCACTCCTTTAATACTTAAATATAATAATATTTAATATATTATTGGACCACTCTTTTAACACACATTTTCTTTTAAAATTATCTACTGGCTTCTTGGAAGCTAACTCATGATCAACAGGAATGGATTTTCCTCACACTTTTGACAATTAAAAGGTAACATTGAAAGAATGTGCACCTCCTGTTTGATTTCTAGGAGGCTCTTAATATTCACACCATGTAATCAGCACAACAGTGTTTTAGAGTCTTAGGACCAAGCTGTTGCTGGGACACAATGCTCATCATTAGCAGACCACACAACCAATAATTAGGGGGTGATGGAAAGTGTAATCCAAAACCTTCTAAGGACCCACTCGGTGCTGGGAACCATGGCATACAGCAGTCTTCCCCCTGGTTTTCTCCAGATGTTTTGGATTTCAACTCCTGTCAGTTCTAACTAGCACGACCAGTGGTCAGGAATGATGGAAGCTCTAATCCTTCTTTTCAGTCTCTGTATGCATAGGCCTGTAGTCTAAATTAGTTTCACTGACTGAGCAGGGATTTCAACCCGAAGTTTCTGCAGCCAAACACCAAGACTCCATTCACAGTGCCACACTGGCTTTCACAGAGCTGCCAGTTGGCTCTTTCTGCAACAGTCATGTTCCCAGTCCTGAAAACCAGATGGGTGGCAAGGAATTCATATTAAGCAGACATCTATAACCTAAGCTGGATGATGAGCACGGTTGTGATGCCGGCAAGTTTGTTGGAGTGTGTGTCTGTGTGCATGTGTATCCAAGCAAGAGACCAGCTTTCCTGCCTTTTTAATTTTAAAATAAATCAACAGAAAGATAGCTAAAATAGCTTATCAACCCTTTCTTTGCAAGTTGCCTCAACAGATTTACACAGAGAAGGTATATTTCTGCCCCTTCAATCACCAAATGAGAGCAGAGTAAGAACTCTGGAGACGGAGGGTTGAGGTGAGGGCGGTCCACTTCAAGGCCAGCTGAAACAGAGCCAGCATTGTGTTCCAGATGGGCAAGCGAAGTGCCTTTGCACAGAACAGCAGAGGCCTCTGGTTCAGCTGCTGAATGCTGAGCTGGCAAGTCCTGCCACGGAAGAAGTTTGACACACAAACCAAAGTTTGTATTTTTTCTTTCTTGCTGCTGAACACCTTTCATAACAAGTCTATCACCTCAGATGATAGCCAGCATTTTGAGAAGCAAATGAATGCAGCTTGCTTTCCTTCTCTTTATTAAAAGAGCTGCATTCAAAAGCTTTCAAAACCCATAATCTCCAGCACAGATGATGTAACCGGCTCCCTGAGGTTGCATCAGCAAAGAGGGAGAACTCTGGAATGCACATATTGGCTTAAGAACAAAATACTTCAGCATCATTAAGAAAAGATGTTATTTTTGTATAACAGCTCTCCAAATGGTAGAATGCTGTGTTTGTTCTAAAGTCCACAATCACCCATTTCTTTTTGGCTGCACGAATGGGGGTTTTTAAACAACTGTACATAATTTAAAGCTTTATTGACTGTAGTCAAATCTGAGTCTCTCTCTCTCTCTCTCTCTCTCTCTCTCTCTCTCATCATGTTAGCTAATCCAGATATTTAGCCCTCAAATCGGAGAGCAAATTTCAAGGGGCAGGTCATTTTATTGATCAGGTTCAAGAGGCAGGTATCTACACTGCTGATTGAGAAAGCTCTGCCAAAGAGACTTTGGTAAGGTGATAAAGTAGTTGCAAAAGTTACTTTTGCCCCTGTTCCCTCCCTGTCCCTCACTCACTCTGAAGGCCTTTCTTGCCTTTTCTTTCCCTTCTTTCCCTTAAAGCTGCAATGTCAGATAGGACAGTGAGACGGGAGAGAAAGAGACGCTACCAAAATTAGCCTATAAAAGTCAGCAAAGCGTGACTGCTTGGAGAGGTTCAGCTGATAATAACGTCTCAGTCTTGAACGTCGAGATAACTCTTCGCCTCGCTCTCCGCCGCATCCAAGAGCCATTAGACAGAATTAAATAATAATTGAGCTGCAGAATGGCAGAGATCTGTGCCACTATATCAGATCGCCTGCTATAACCCTCAGGCGGCTATATAAACTCCTTACCTAAGAAGCTTGGCTTTCTAAACTTCCACGGCTTAACATCACCAATGAAAACAAACAACAAAAAGAAAAGAAAAGAAAAGAAAAGAAAAGAAAAGAAAAGAAAAGAAAAGAAAAGAGGAAAGGAAAGGAAAGGAAAGGAAAGGAAAGGAAAGGAAAGGAAAGGAAAGGAGGAGGCAACAATGGAGATCAATCTTCACTGCAGGAGCAAAACTTTTCGTTGGGATGAGGGTATTCGTAACGCAGGGAGGGTGAGGGAGATACATGGGAACTGAACTGCCTATGGACAGCAGCCCATCAGTACAGGCCCAAGTGCATTCACTCCAAAAGGTGGGAAAGGGGCCGGGAAGGGGGCAGGATGAAGGACCAGGTCAGATCGCTGGTACTTTGCAAAGCAGGTCAGCTACGCTTCCCACACTGCCCCGCAAATGCTGAAAGCACTCAAATGCCACTGCTCGAAAAGCATTTTGTGGAAGTTACTTGTGCAACTTAAGCCCCCATCCCGACCCCTTACTTATCTTTGCTCCCACCCCATGTGGCCAAAGGAATCTGACCTCCTTCCCCCTTTTCGAGGAACACAATTTGCCATTCGCACACCTTACCGTGGCAAAGTGCCTAAAAGGAAAAGGCAGCATAGCAGCCTGAGGTCCAGAAAGTGCAAACTTGCTTTGCTAGCTGTTGCTCACGGTCAGTGAGTCCCAAGACAGGGAAACCTGAAGCGAGGATGGTGGGCTGGAGGAAGGGAAGCACGTGGCTCTTCCTCCGCCACTGCCAGTTACTACCGGGTGCAAGGGGCATCCTGGGAGTTGTAGTTGCTGCTCTATGTTATGCTCTCGACTGCCTTCCTGGAAGCCTGCTGAGCGTGTTCGGGTCGGAATTGCTCGCTGCCGCGGCGATAACTCGCTGGCTTTTGAAGCATGCGAAAGAGATGCCGCGTCCATAACGTGTCAAAGGAAAGTGACATCCCTGGAGCATTAAAATTAAGCAAAGACGGTTCATTGTCGACAAGTGTAAAGGGATGCACGATGGGGCAAAAATTCTGTGTTTGAGGCCTAAGCAGGTGGTGACTGACCAAGAAAGAGATGTTGGGGTCGTGGTGGAGAACTAAGGGATGAAAATGTCAACCCAGTATGCAGTTGCTGTGAAAAAGACAAACACGTTAGGCATAATCACGAAAGGAATTGAAAATAAACCTGCCAAAACCGTACTTCCAGTACACAGAATCTCTGGTGTGACCACACTTGGTGTACCCTTCTGATCATCACATCTAAACAGGATATTGTAAAGTTGTCGGGTGGGAGGGGCGGAACAGAAAAGGGCCACTAAAATGATCAAGGGACTGGAGCAGTTCCCCTCTGAGGAAAGTTTATGACATCTGTAACTGTTCAGTTAAGGGGGGGAAAGTGAGCAAAGGGAAACATTATAGACATGTACAAGATGATGCATATTGTCGAGAAAACAGGTAGATATTTTTCTTGCACTGCAGCAACACCAGAATCCAATGTGGTCATCCCATGAAGGCTGAGTGGTGGGAGATTCGAGACATATAAAAAGAAGGGCTTCTTCATACAGCACATAGTTAAAACTATGGAATTTCCTTCCACAAGATGTAGCAATGGCTAGGAATTTTAACAGCATTTTAAAATATGATTGGACAAAAGATGATGCAGAAGAGGACTATCAATGGCTAATCTTGATGCTACCTCCTTTGTCCTCCTGTTGCCAGGAAACATGGGTAGGAAGGTGTTGTGGCACTCTTGTCCCAATTGCGGATATCCCCCAGACAGCTGTTGGCTGCTGTGTGAAGAGAATGCTGGGTGAGATGCAACCGTGGTCTGATCTAGCAGGGCTCTTCTGAAGCACCATTTTTGTGGCTTCAGAATGATACAGATATGGGCTTGGAGTCTGTCTAAATTACCTTTTAAGGACCCGTTCCCATCCAATGCCTCTGATTACAAAGTGATTCAGGTCTTCCACTCCCTGTGGCCTCTAGCTCTTGAATGGCTAGTGTTTTTTTTAATAGGCCTGGGTAAGCAGGAAGTTAGGCTAGAGACTGAGTCGGGTTCAGCATTTTCTACAGTGATGAAAAATGTGGCAGCCTCCTGTTAGTAGGATAAATTCAACATCTGGTAGATTTCCCCAGGAGAGCTTTACCTGTTGACTATCGGCTTGTCAGATAGCTATGAAAGGCATATGCCTTTCATGGGAAGCTCCAGAAAGAAAAGAGACAAGCCTAAAATTCTGTGGCTCAACCCAAGTAGGAGATACTAAACCCAGCTGAGAACCTTACACCTCCCTTTGTAGAAATTAAAGAGTGGCTTAAACAATGGAATGCATTATCTAGCCAAGGGAGGCACCAAATTGCCAATAATGCTGCCATTTTCATCCTCTGTGGCTTATTTGCTCTGCTTTTAGACTACTGAGGAACAAAATACAGTTGCTATAGCATATCTTATATAAACCCCAGTCCTGAAGCACTGAAATGGCTTCATCAACATTACACCGATCATCTTTACCACCACTCTGGTAAGCTAGCCCAACCCACACATGCTGCCAGTGCCAGAAGCTTTGGACTAGAAACCGTTAGTGCCCACACCACCACTGAGCCTGCCTTTTCACCAGGCACTCTTGCTCCTTGGTTACCACCTGCTTGCCCAGCAGGCAGAGAACCGGTGGGCAAGCAGGCTGTTCTTTTCTCCTGCTCTCCCTTCTCATTGCTTCTCTTGTCTGGGCCAGAGCAGGAGGCAGGTGAACAAGCAGGCTGACAGGGGAGAAAGAGCAGCAATGCCAGCAGGGTCTTGTCAATGTGCCCCTCTGTGATTCGGTAGGTGCCTGCCCATGCCTGCCCTTGTCGTCAGCCTTACATGCTGCGGAATCACAAAGCGAAGCCTCTGAAGCTGACTACTTCAGATCACAGGTGGAAGAAGCTCGTTGCTTGCAGCACTCCAGTGGAGAGGTGGCATGGGCACACACTGGCGGAAGTAGATCTGAATGGCTAGGAAATGTGTGGGTTCAGTGTGCTCTGCATTGCTTGGTGGGTTCACAAGCCTGATGTCCGATATGTGGACTGATGATGGCCACAAGCTATAATTTGTGTTTGTACTGGGTTGGTTGTATGGGATTGTCTGGATGGATGGCTGGATGGCTGGATGAAGTGTTTCAGGCTTTACATGTCTGAGAGTCTGTCTGAGTTGTGAGTGGGTGTTGAGTGTGTGTAGGAAAATTTGGCATGGAAAGGCTGTGCTTGGAAAACTCCTGCTCAGCGACCCATGACCACTCTGTTCCAGTGACCAGGGGCAGGAGGAGACACAGTGGGAGGAAGGTACCAGAGCAGAATGGGTGCCAGGCATTTACTTGCTGTCCTACCCCTCCCTCAGCATTCAGGTACCTGGTAGCTCATCCCCTGAACCCTCCTGCCCTGCAGTGCTGCTCCATGATGCCAGGTTGGCCTGATAAGATTGGAGTAATTAATGATTTAATGGCAGATAAGGAGGCCAGTCTAACATCTGTTACTGAGACTTGGGTGGTAATCCAGCTGAGGGTCAAGTCTCAGGGCAGAATGGTGACATGTTCTGGTTTCTTCCCCTTCCTGCCCCCAGGAATACCCCTTTTCCTCTTCTCCGAGGTCGCTCTTAAGCCCTCAAAGAAACAGCCAGTGTATGTTTGGAATCCAAGGGCAGATACCCAGACTGGAGATTGGCATACCTTCCCAATCTTGGATCTGGAAAAAATCCTGTGGGATATCTCTGTTACTTATTTACAGTTTTACAGTTTTTACACTTAATGCCCTAGGGCAGAGGTAGGCTGGGCATGGACTAAGAGCCTTGGACTGACAAACATTAGCCAGCTTTTAACTATTGGTGGGAACCTGGATTTATTTGGCCAGCAAGTATAGCAAAAGTAACAGCCCAATCCCACGCATGTTTACCAGAAGAATGTTTCCCTGTGTTTAGTGGTGAAGTGTGCCTACAACTGCTGCCTAGCAATGCAGTCCTAGTACATCTCTTCCCAGAATTTCAGTGAGGCTTTCTCCCAAGGAAATGTGTTCAGCCTTGCAGCACATTATGCTTACGTGATACATGAGACATCCTGTGTGGTTTTGTTGCCCATTCGACTCATCTGGGGGGCTCTTCACAATCCCCTTGATCTGCAGACTTGGCCAACTGGCTCCTCCCTCTTGCGCCTAGATGATCCACCAGTCTCAATAACTGTCCTAAAGCAACCCTTTCAATAGCTTTGAATCTCAATGCCACCTCCCTAAGCCTTTTTGTGCTTTTCCGTGTATGCCTACAAGTTTAGGTCATCCACTGAGCAACAGGCATGGGTCTGCTGTTGATAAATTTCCCCTTTATTTTAAGTTCCCATACTTTGCAGCTAGCTTGGAATCCACGCGCACAGGAAAGTGTGTGTGTTAGTTGCTGATCTAGCAGTTTGCACATCTTCCATTTTTAATTTTTTGCTCTGCTGAGCCAAGCCTTCTTCAGCCCCAGCAGCAATGCTGAAAAGAAGCCAGGGATGTCTCTCCCTCCCACTTTCGCCTTCCATCTCTGCTTTGTTGCTTATCACTTTATGAGTGGTGATAGATGGAGCCAATGGTACCACTGCTTGGATCCTGGGAGTCATGGCGATTGGCTGCTTGCCCTCTACGAGATGGACATTCAGCCAGTAGGAAAGTGGTTTCCTTGCAATGTTCCCCCCAGCCTGAGCACCTTCTTGCAGGCACCAGGAAGACAATGGGGGAAAAACATTAATAAAAGCTGGTTTAAGTTGCTTGTTCCCTGTCAGTCTGTTGCCGTCTGTAGCATGTGATTGATGGATGACTTGTTTGCCTGCTTGACTTGGTGCTGTTCAGACTGGGTTCCCAGAAAGCCTTGTGTTCCTCAGACACTTGCTGCCGTTCCTCCATGAGAAAGTCAGGAATGGCAAACACAGCTCCTTACCAGGACTAGGGTGTCCATGTGTCCTCCTTACAGAAGAGAGTGCCCCATTTGAAGGTGTCTCCTGGCTGAAGGTTGTCCTGTCCAAATCCCACTTGAAGATAAAGAATCATCAGGAAAAAGAGCTGGGCCTTGAAGTTGCCCAACAGCAGGCTGAGCAAGGCCCACAAGAGCTTACCTGGCCACGGTCTTTCACTTTATGCAACACATTTGATAAATTATAATAATTATTTCTAAATTTGTTGTTGCTATGGGCCATCAAGTCGTTCTTGACTTAAGACAACCCTATGAATGAGCATCTCCCAAAATGGCCTGTCCTTGAGAGCCCTGCTAACCTCTTGTAAACTCAGGGCTATGACTTACTTTCTGGAATTGTTCCATCTCATGTTTGGTCTTCCCCTTCTTTTTCTGCCTTCAGCCTTCCCTGTTCCCTAGAATGATGGTCTTCTCCAGCAAGGCTTGGCTTCTTATGATATGCCCAAAGTAGGACAGCTCCAGGTGCATCATCAAGTTCTGGTCTGATTTGATCCAGGACCCACTTGTCCATCTTTCTGTGCATCTGGAGTATTTTCAAATTTGCATACTTATAAACCACAGTACACTAAGTGTTTGCTGATGGACGTCCTCTTTTGTGGTTATTCATAAATGGTGACTCTGCTTGCATGGTGCAGTCTCATGAGAGTTCTGGGTGCATGCTGGAGTTCACTCCCCATTCCTTCAAATGCTCAGCAGGCTGGGCAGGGTCCTCTACAACCTGATTGCCCTTCCAAGGACACATTGCCAGAATCCTTTGCA